CTGTTGTAATTGTGTATATCACAATTACCCATTTGTGAGAGTAATTAAACGGTATCGTAACCCTAATGCCACGGTTATGATATACGACTCTGGTAAACTAGTATGTGTGGGTGCAAAATCAAAAAATGATGGTCGAATAGCATTACGAAAGACTGCTCGCATAATACAAAAACTCGGATATGATATCAAATTACATAACTTACGTGTGACTAACATTGCTGCGTCACATAACCTGAAAAACGACTTGAATGTAGAGAAACTGATGAATCAATTTAATTGGAGCAGTAATTATGAGTTGGAAATATTTCCACATTTGAGGATCAATTGTGGTAATAAAAGACATATAACTCTCACTAGAAAAGGGAAAATGATATTGACTGGTGTTTATACTAGAAAAGCATTGAATGAATTATATGAAGAGTTTATGTTTAAATACTTTGATTACTTAATAAACAAATAAATATGAAGAAAGTTAGATTTGATGACAAAATACAGATAAAGACTATGTATGTTTGGTCATATGCTTCAAGACAGGCTCGTATATCTAACTGGCATTGGATAGTTTTTAACAGACGTATTCATGAATATAAGTGTAAACTAATTGAAGAAAATATATCATATGTATTAGATAAAAATTTTAGAGAGAAAATATTTAATGAACGCTTTTGTAAATAAATAAAATGCAAATAAATTATAAATATTATTTTAAAAATAAATGTATTTATATTTATTTTGTTTACATCTACACTCATGTTAGGTCATATGATTTCCGCTATCCCCTCTCCGCTAATACATCGGAAGGTTGACCAGTATGGTAAGTTGGTCAGATCGGTAAGTTGGTCAGATCGGGTAGGTGGTCAGATCGGTTAGTTGGTCAGGTTAGGTTGGGTTCGGTTAAAGGTAGTGGTGACGTCATTGATATACACTTAGGTTGGGTTAGGTTCGGGTAATTGGTCAGTTCGGTAAGTTGGTCAGTTCGGGTAGGTAAGGTTCGGGTAATTGGCCAGTTCGGTAAGTTGGTCAGTTCGGGTAGGTAAGGTTCGGGTAGTTGGTCAGTTCGGGTAATTGGTCAGTTCGGGTAGGTAAGGTTCAGGTAGAGGTAGTGGTGACGTCATTGGTGTAGTACACTTAGGTTAGGTTAGGTGGAGTCACGTGATCTCCGTCACCTATTCTCCGTCATACTGTTATATGGGGGAAAGCACTGTGCTTTCCCCTTCCGTCACCCTTATGTCGTAACTACTATTATTATTTAAGTATCCTAACAACGAGTTAAAAAAGTTTTAAACCAATGAATTATAACTTTATATATTATAATATAATTTATTATTTATAAGTTATTATATGAAGAAATACAGTACTTATCCTTAAGCAGACAATAATAATAATATTTATAATAAGTATAGTGTTATTGGTTTCTGGTTTTAGTTTTGTAAAAAAATAATATTAATAATAATTAAATGAGAGGTTCGGCACTCAATTTGTCTGAATCCATAGCGGCATTGACCTCTTAAATACATTATATCATTAATATTAATAATATTTTTAATATATATATATATACTGACTGTACTGTACTTAAAAGTGCTTAAAATTGAATAATAACAGGTATATTAAAAGCACATAAATTTATATATTAATGATTTTTTTGTTTTGAAAAAAATTAACGATAATGTCATTTGACATAAACAATATACAGTATATATACTGTATATACTCTACAATATACAGTACTGCAGACAGCACTGGCAAATCAGGCGTAATGTTTAACAAAAAAAACTAACAATAAATAAATAAAAATGTATTTTAAATTAGTTTAACTTTTAACTTAACTTTAAGTATAAATAAGTATTTATATATACGATTAAAACAGCGGATGATTGATTAGAATAGATATTTCTAAATGAGAAACGATTAACAACAACGACAACGACTAGTGAATCGATTTATAAATTATATATATTTTTATTATTTTTTAAATATTTCTTTTTTTTAAGCAAATAATTTTCAAAGAAAATAATTCACACAAAAAAAGAGTTATTATTATAAGTGAAGTGAAAAGAGAAAGAAAGCTAAATAACAATAACAACAATGAAGTTAACAAACAAAACAAAATTTGTTGTTTAAATAAATTTAAATAACAAATTAATTTTTTTTAGATTCACACAGATTTATACAGTTTGCTGTTAGTGTTAAATATAATGATTATCTCTTTATATATATATATAATATAAGTGCATAAAAATATCCGATGAAAGACCTGTCTTTGTTTAATGTTTTTTATATATATTTTATTCTTCAAGTCATTCAACTCACTCTCTGAAGTGGAAGTTATTTTCAAAATTATGGGAATATCAAGAATAAAGACTATACTGTAGTTTAGACAGACAGACACACATTAGGCAAACATTATTATAATTTCAATATTAATATTATAATTTTCAAATAAAACACTTCGTCAATTGGTGCCAATAATTTGTGTGTATATGTGTGTGTGTATATG